TTTATATATATATTTATATATATTTATATATATATATTTATATATATATTTATATATACACATATTATATATTGCCATATTTTTGTACACAATTATTATTTATTATTGTTATTAAAAAGATTGATTGGAATTATGGATTTGTTTATTTATTCATTCATTCTGTTCTATTTTGTATTTATTTGTTATATTCTTTTCATTAAGATGTGATTAATTAAAGCTAAAGGTACTTTAAAAGGAGTTGAAAACGCGACCCGACCACGGATAAGCGGATAATTGTATTATTAATTAAATTAATCAATTATTGGCACTGGCTTGATTCACAGGCTACAATAAGAAATGTTCCTCTAATGTTAACTTGTTTTTATTTGTAGGTCAGTAGAGCTGAATGTTGGCTGGATGATAGCTGGGGAACACACACACACACACACACACACACACACACACACACACACACACACACACACACACACACACACACACACACACACACATACACACATACAATGTATACATCACTTCAGGGGACATTACATTGACTTACATGCATTTCCTGGAGACTTATCCTAACCTTAACCATAACCAACACATGCCTAACCCTAACCCTAACCCTTAACCTTACCCTTACCCTAACCAAGTCTTCACCCTAAAATGAATGATTCCCCTCATGGGGACCTCCATTTTGTCCCCATAAGGGAGGAGAGTCCCCACACGTGACTGTGTAAACAGATTTAGGTCCCCACAAGTATAGTAATGCTAGGCCACACACACACCCACACACATCCACACACACACACACGCACACACATCCACTCACACTCTAAATAAATTTTGTAAGCGACTGACATTTGATGGAAGTTGATGGAAGACCATCAGTGACATAATTCCTCTTTCAAATGGCAGGTTTAGCCGTTTGAAAAAATCAAAATGCAGTCGTTAAAGGACATCTCATACATATTGAAAAGGAAAATAATATTTAATCCCTTAAAGTAGCCACTAAGAAATGAAAACTGTAAATAAATACTATAAAGCGACGTCCTTAACTGTTTAGAAAGATTTTAATTTACTACTGACACAAAAAACTTGTCTTTAAAGCCTCTAATATTACTGATAATACAATAAAACATGAATAGAATAGCTTTTTAAAAGTTATGTCTGCTATAAGTTATCCATAATAAAGTCAAACTTTAAATCTGTTTTTCATTAAATACTTATTTATAAGTTAAATTCATTCACAACCTCTTAAAAATAATCATAAGATATGTTCTGGGTCGTTCAAAAGTGAGATACTCTTATTTACAAAAAGAGAGCCCTCTGAACATAATTTAGTTTCTTTTTAAACTTTTTGAGATGCTTCACTCTTCTCCCCCTCCACATCAAGAGGCATACAAGTCTTCTTCGGGTTATTTCATCCTTTTTAATCAAGTTCTCTGAAAAAACAGACAGACAGCAACGAAAACAGACAGTACACGCTTCATACAAGTGAACGCTAACGACACAAGTGCAAAAAAAGAAGAATTAAAACAAGAATTAACTCCAAAATAATTTCCTTTTTTTTTACAGAACCAAATAAGATGACATGGATCGAGGTCCGTCTGCTGCCAATCAACAATGTGCTGTGTGTGTGTGTGTGTGTGTGTGTGTGTGTGTGTGTGTGTGTGTGTGTGTGTGTGTGTGTGTGTGTTGTGTGTGTGTGTGTGTGTGTTGTGTGTGTGTGTGTGTGTGTGTGTGTGTGTGTGTGTGTGTGTGTGTGTGTGTGTGTGTGTGTGTGTGTGTGTGTGTGTGTGTGTGTGTGTGTGTTGTGTGTGTGTGTTGTGTGTGTGTGTCTTTTGTTCAGAGGTTATATAAGTTATTTAGCCTTGCACCGTAAAAGAAATACAAAATAAAAAAATTCAGAAAAATGTTTTTGGGAGGAAGAAGCTTCCGGTTTGTTGACTGCATGCTCAGCTGTTTGACATTTCAATTATTCAAGATACCCACATTTAAATCAATTTCAATTCAACCCAACCTGTCAGATAGAGTCTTGCAGTAAAAGGCCTAAAACAGATGGTAATGAAATAATGAAATATTCAACAGTGCAGTTTATTATTAATGCCAGAGCCTGACTTAAACCAGGGTTTAATTGGAAAAACATCTCTTTACTTCCCTAATTCACTTATTTTTTAAATCTTTCTTTTCTATTATTGACATTGTTGGCTTTAATTTGACACATAGCGTTTATGAATGGCTGTTTTGTGAAATATCATCCACATTTCTGCTGCTTGGTTGTCTTTTGTTTCCTCATATTTGTTGGGTTTCAGAGCTCACAGAGCACTGACCTGAGATCTGAGAACAGACTGATCCATAGAAATACAATAATCAATACTTTGATAGTCAAACGCAGATCATTCGGTGTGCTTACTTTAAAAATAACTGAATTTACATTTAGGCTTTCATCTAATGCAATCACAAGGTTTTTGCATTTTGTTTTGAAATGTCCATTGTAAACTGTCAGAAAAGAAAACCGGAATAGGTTCACAAATTTAGACCATATTATTTTGTAATGTTGATAAAGAAAACCTAACGTCACCATTAATGTACTTGTTCATATTGTTTTATCAGCCAGTATACAGATGTAACTGTAAAATGGCCAGTGTGTGTTATGTGGAATTAAATACTGACTAACTTTTAAAGGGTATTATTTATTAAGGATAAAAATATCTTTCAGTAAACCCAAATAAAAATATGATTCTTAAAACCAGAATTTCCAAATAAACATGGCTGTGTTGGAAAAACATCTAGGTTCTCTTTAATACACATGTGTAGTAAAACCTGGACATTCTGGGCTAAAAAGCAGACTGTTTATGAAACCTGCTAAATAATGAAAAGATGTACAGGAATAGGTCAAAATAATGCATTATTGGAAATTAAATGTGAAAACTATTTTTCCCGTTTTGAGTTTACAAAACCAGTTGTCTTTCCTCTGAAACCTCGGTGTCGTTAACACGGTCACATGAAACATTGATATCGGTATTACTGTGCAGATTTTAATCCACATCCTTGCATATTTATCACTGCAGTTAACAACCTCGTATCTCCATTTGTTGTTGTTGTGCATTTTTTGAGACTCGTTTTTCAGCTTGGTGCAATAACAAAATGAATTGCTAAAAAAAGAGTAAATTTAAATAAATGAATGAAGTTGAGATTAGTTGTCTATTTTCAAAGCCAAGAATGATTTTTCATGCTTGATAAAATTGATTATCATTGATTATTATTATACAAAGTTTTGGAGATACGAGTTTTTCACCGGACAGCATTTGTATGGATGTGTGTGTGGTTCAGGGCCTCAGGTTTTTTTTTGCAGCCGCTTCCCCAAAAAACTGCAGAATAAAAACACTTCCAGAGGCCTCCATCCTCCACCGGTCACTTTGAAAAAGTTTACCCGGAAACACTAGCAGGTTAGCGGGGCGTTACACCGGCAGAAGCTGCTCAAATGTATGGTTTTAAGAACAAAAATAAGATTGTGTTTGTGCGGCGGGCTTTAGCGCACATGCGCAGGAGCTTTTACGCTCATTCAGGCCTGCACACACACATTAACACACACACACACATAAACCATGAACTGAAGTTATTAGGACAATCTGGGCTTTTATAATAACATATACATATATAAACGTGTGTTACAGCTGCATTGTTTTGCATAATATTGTACATGAAGAGTTCTATTCCAAAAACATGTATATCCATTTATTTAAAGGGGAAGTCAAAATGCCATTTTTAGCACTGAAGGCAGCAGTCAGGATATTTATAGCTTTACTACGGCTCTGCCATGTTGGGAATATTATTCTGGATATCATTATTTTGGAAGGAAACTCTTCACAGAGAGCAGTGTTATTGTTTTTATTGTGATTATTATTATTGTTAGGCCTGTCCGGGGTTAACCTGAGTAGAGATATGATTGTAGGCTTATTTTTTCCTCTCGAAACCCCTGATTGTTTCTGCTGATTTAAGGCTTTATTTACTCATTATTTACCTATTCAAACGTTTTTCCTCTCATAAAAAGAGAAAAGAAAAACGTTTTGATTGTCTGTTTTTCTCCTTGATTGTCTCAAAATTCATAAATAATTATTATTAACCCTGTATGTCTTATTTCACCCCCCTCCCCATCCCATAATCCTTAATACTGATAAGTATACACTGACGAATAGAATTTAAATACATTGTACAATAAATACAAAACATAAATAAAAGACTCAAAGAAAGTACTGAAAATCTTTGTACAAGATATAAATAGCTTGAATTATTCTTAAAGCGTTACCTTTGGCAAGTCTAGTTTACAGTTGTACAACCCGCGGGTAACAAAAGTTTGTCCCTTTTTTCAAACAAGAAAATATAATCATCAAAATAAACCCGATGCTCTTCGGGGCAAAATATGGCCAAAAAAACACTTCATATATATTTTTTGCGATCATTGTTTGATATTTACCACTTATTATTATGCCCTTAACATATTTTGTGCGTCCTCGTCCCAGGGTTGGGGGTGGGGGGGGGGGGGGGGGGGGGTCAGTTTAGGAAAGCGTTAGGGGTCACCCTCTTTTGATGGGACAGCACCCCGGGGAACCCCGCGGAAACGCCCGGGGAGAAGGAGCTGTTTCTCAGGGAGTCCGAGAGCAGGTGCTGCGGGGAGCTACTGCTCGTCAGGCCGCCGTACCCCTGCTGGAGGTGCGGCGGGGGCGGCGGTCCTCCTCCGGGCTGCCCTGAGTGTCCGGTCCCTGAGACAAAGTACCCGGCAGTCTGTCCGGAGAGCAGCCCCACCGGAGAAGTGCTCATCCCGTAACTGTTCCCCAGGATAGAGCGCCCCAGGTCCCCGTTACCCAGCTGCTCCACGGCGGGCAGCAGCGACCCGTACCCGCCCGCCTGGTTCAAAAACCCGGGTGAGGATCCGTTGTAGTGCGGGTGGTGGTGGTGGTGATGGTGCAGGGAGAGAAACGGAGAGATCTGCCAGTACAGCGGGTTGTTTGCCCGCTCGTTAATCCCCAAGCCGAGAGGAGCGAAGCGCAGCCCGCGTTTCATGGCCAGTTTCCCCCGGGAGGTGGCGGAGCGCCGACGGAGCTTCCCGGTTGTCCCTCCAATGAAAACGTCATCGCTGCTCGGGTCCAACATCCAGTAGTTCCCCTTCCCCGGGTCGTCGTAGTGCCTGGGCACCTTCACGAAGCACTTATTGAGACTCAGGTTGTGACGGATGGAGTTCTGCCAGCCCTGCTTGTGCTCCCGGTAGTACGGGAAGTTCTTCATGATGAACTCGTAGATGCCGTTCAGCGTGAGCCGCTTCTCGGGGCTCTGCCGGATGGCCATCATGATCAGGGCGTTATAGCTGAACGGAGGCTTGTCATATTTCCCGTTTTTCACGGTACTATTACCGTTAGTGTTCGGTGTGGTCTTGGCGCCTCCTCCACCTTCCTCCTCCTGGTCCTCCTGCTTGTCCGGCTTCTCGGGGTCCAAAGCCACCTCCAGGGGGTCCAGAGACTTAGAGTCCACCTCCTCCAGAGACTTGTCAGATTCGGAGCCCGGAGAGCGAGAGAAGGTCCCGGGGATTCCCACCACTGCAGCGGCTACGGGGTCCGGCCTGTCGCACTTGGAGGGCAGCAGGAGGCTCTTGATACTGAAGGAGGAGGACCGGTGCACGGTCGGCGGGTCTTTTACATCCTCCATGCCCGGTGACGGGTCTCCCGAAAAACGAGGAATAAATAATATTAATAATAAAAAAATAACAACAATAGCACTCCAAGCTCGTCCACCTCCGTTATCCTGGCTGGAAACGAAAGAGACAGAGAGGAGAGAGAAAGCAGGGTCAGGATGAGAGAGGCATGGATGGAGGAGTGGAGGGAGAGAAGCGAGACAGACAGAGAGAGAGAGAGGGGGGGGGGGGGGGGTAGAGAGAGAGGGGGAGAGAGAGCGAGCTTGGCTTGGATGTAGAGAAATTAGTAATTAAGGAGGTTCCGACTCTACATCACAGAGAGGAGGAGCTTCAACAACTTGCTGATTTTTATAAACAAATCCTCTTTTCTTCCCTTCTGTCTCCAAACGGACGACCTTTAATGTCTCCAACAACACAAACTTGTCATTTATATCCCCTCCTCTCTTTTAATATCTCTCTCTCTCTCTTTCGGTAGTCATGCGCGTGCACCTCTCCGTTAAATTCGTTGGTGTGACTGTGCCGTGCGTCGTGTGCATGTGTGCGTAAAATCCCATTCTGAGCTTGCGCGTAAAAGCGCACAGTGTCCTCGGCTTTGTTTTCTCAACGACAGTAGCTTGAATTCATGTCGGCAAACACAGCGCGTGCACGCTCCCTGTGTGTGTGTGTGTGCGTGTGTGTGTGTGTGTGTGTGTGTGTGTGTGTGTGTGTGAGTGTGTGTGTGTGTGTGTGTGTGTGTGTGTGTGTGTGTGTGTGTGTGTTTATGAGGGGAGAGAGGGGGGCTCGTCGCTATTGTCTACCAATAAAATCATTGTGGAAACACACACACGCGCACACACACGCACACACAGCCCAGAGGCGGCAGATCTATGATCTGAAGCTGTGACCTGAGTGCCTCCTGTTGGTAATATCAAGTAGTGCAGCAGAAATCAATTGTCCAAGTGGTTCGACGTGTCTGAAGGATGGTAGTAAACAGACTGTTACAATTATAATAATCATAATAATAATAATAGATATGAGACTTCGTTTCTTAACCATTTTAAACCTGATTGTTCACTGAAATATTTCTTAAAATACGTTTTCCAGTTCATTACATTTCACATTTTCTCTATATCATCCTATTTCAAATATTAATTGAAGCCATTAAGGATACTAAGGTCATGTCCTTTATATTTGTACAGGTGATACTGTGATTTAATTACCTCTGGAAGACTTTAGATTGTACAGAAATGCCCAAATTACACTTTTTAAGGTCTGTTTTCATGCAAAATAAATGTGCTTGGTGGAAATAACAGAAAGTATTCAAAGTACTACATCATGGCTATGGGTAATTCTCATGTTATGTAAACTACAACCAAAAGTTATAGGAATTGTTTTTTCCAAGCTGGGGGCATTCAGACGCTTCACCTCAGTATTTATCCAAAATAATTGTACAACCCAGGCTTCACAATTTATGAAATGGTCAAATATATATATATTGGTCTTGAATTCATCCTGACATATTTGGTGCTTTCAGATTCTGTGATCTCCACCAGAATTGTAAATGTATGTTAGAATAATCTACGGTCAAATAAATAAATAACAGTGTTTATTTTAAAGATGGGGCACTGGGGACCTTAACACTTTTACTACTGTGTACATTCCCTCATTTAATGCATTATTTCAAATGTAGCCTACATTTTGAATGTGGCGTGTGTTTTCATCTGTTGCAGTGTTTTCTGTGGAATCACACAGAACATATAAGGAACTTTTACATACTTGTGTCATCTATTTTTGAAACAGCATCAGTAACTCTGTAGTTTTATGTCAGATAGAAAATACATGTGTGTCATCTCTCTGCAGGAAGTACAGAATACACTTTGTAACTCAGGTCACTGTGCTTTGTTTAATAGATTAATGCAACCGTTAGTCACGGGCCCTTAGAATCGTCCTCACTTTTCACCCCCTTACGGCGCCCCCCCCCCGTGTGTGTGTGTGTGTGTGTGTGTGTGTGTGTGTGTGTGTGGGTGGGTGGGTGGGTGGGTGTGTGTGTGTGTGTGTGTGTGTGTGTGTGTGTGTGTGTGTGTGTGTGTGTGTGTATGCAGGGGCGACGCTAGGGATTTTGGGCCTAAAATAGTTTGGGCCCCTGTTAGTCACCGGCCCTTAGAATCGTCCTCACTTTTCACCGCCTTACGGCGCCCCGTGTGTGTGTGTGTGTGTGTGTGTGTGTGTGTGTGTGTGTGTGTGTGTGTGTGTGTGTGTGTGTGTGTGTGTGTGTGTGTGTGTGTGTGTGTGTGTGTGTGTGTGTGTGTGTGTGTGTGTGTTGGCTGCATGGTGTTGTGTTTGTAAGGCTATCTGCCACGGTGCATTAGGTTGTAAATGTCTCTCTGCCTTAGGCTCTGTTATCTGACTGGTTGCATGTGTTTAATGAGGTTATTGTTTTCATGCAGGAATATAATTGATCGTAGTCCATCTATAAACCTCTGGGCTGTGTAGAGCTTTACTTTATTAAATAGCTCCAGATTGATGTGTGTCCCTCACTGGAATAATGAAGGTGTTTGAACCGGACTTACTGAGGCTCTCTTTAGAACTGAGCTTAATGCTCTGTAATGATTAGGCAGCATCGCTCTGAAGGACTTTAAATACTTATATCACTAAATAATAATTTGTACTTGAATTGAACTTTTCTGGCATGCTTCCACATTCAACACAGAATCTAAAAACTGAGACAAATCTGGATGAATTGAAGTTAATAGGGGCTGCTTTTTAAAACAGCAGTTATTTGATTTTCTTATTTCACCTTGTAGGCATCAACAAAAAAAGCTAGTTGTTTAATATTTCCATATTTTCCATGAGATTGGAAATAAAAACAGAAACCAGAGTCCCTGAGATAACTCTTTCCTTTTCAGCTAAAACTGTTTTTTCTTATGTTTCACCACCATCTGAAAATCAATAAACATTTAAGAATAAAGTTCTTAATATTCTCCAACCAGTCCAAAAGGCCTCGATGGATTTATTCTATAAATAAATAGTTGTTTCTATATAGCCCAGTCAAAAAAGCTGATAATTACTATTACAGTGATCACTAGACTTTCTAGCTACAGCTAATCCTCTTAGAAAATGTGCTGCTTTTTAACAAATTAAATCAAAATGTATAATTGAAGTTTTTTTTAGTTAACAGGTTTTCTGAGCTGTACTAGTGCACTCAGTGACACGCTGAGCCCAGTGATTGCTGTTTGTCTACACTATCTGCAGATTCTGTATGAAAACAGAGCTGAAATCCAGATTACACACACGCACACACACACACACACACACACACACGCAGTTCTTCCTCCTCCAATCTGCCGTATTAAATCTGCGCTGCGTTTTTGTGCCAGATGGTGCTTCTGTTAAACTGGAACTGAACCTCCAACAAAGGCAAAGGTTTGGGCTGTGTTCACAAGCTTGAAGTCAGAGGCTCACACACACACACACACACACACACACACACACACACACACACACACACACACACACACACACACACACACACACACACACACACACACACACACACACCACACACACACACACACACACACACACACACACACACACACACACACACACACACACACACAGATTTACTTAACCATAATATGACCTAGCATTTTGGCTGGTCATTTTTCAGGGTAAAAAAACAAAAGTAAAAAGTAACTCTAAAGACATCCTCAACAAAGCCAAGCCCCAAATGCTGCTTTACTGTATCTACTCAACATGCGCTAACATGAAAGTTAATGGGCTTAACCTCTTATGGAATAGTAAGGTAAGCTGTACTGTAAAGCTTGCAACGGAAGGAGAACTTACATCCATCTCAGTGACGCAGAACGCTGAGAGGCAGGGTCCACCTCTGGACAGGTCTCCGTTTCATTACAGGACTGACACATGAAGACAAACACATTAACCCCATCTGAGACACAAATGGAAAGGGGATGTTGCAGAAAAGGAGTTGTATCACCAACAAAAATGATGTAACAACTCTAGAGATTGCATGTTAAACAGCTGAAATGTGGTAAATGTTACAAAAGTAATCAACAAGGACTGTGCACTTGCACTCTTATGATTGATGAATGCCTGCTTTGCCCGATGACATCGTATTCCTGCGATTTCATGCAGAGCTAAAGTTTGTCTAATGCAGTCCTAAGGCCCAGAAACATCGAATTGACATCAAGAGGCGCTTTCACACCCGAGTACTTTTCCCAGTATAGTTCTGATATACAGTTGCAAGAAAAAGTATGTGAACCCTTTGGATTCTCCACACATAGCGTTGTGTGTTCCTTCCAAACAACTCAACCTTGGTTTAATCTGTCCACAGAATATGTTGCCAGTAGTGCTGTGGAACATCCAGGTGCTCTTTTGCAAACTTCAAACGTGCAGCAATGTTTTTTCTGGACAGCAGTGGCTTCCTCCGTGGTGTCCTCCCATGAACTCCATTCTTGTTCAGTGTTTTACGTATCGTAGATTCGTCACCAGAGATGTTAGCATGTGCCAGAGATTTCTTTAAGTCTCTAGCTGACACTCTAGGATTCTTCTTCACCTCATTGAGCATTCTGCGCTGTGCTCTTGCAGTCATCTTTACAGGACGGCCACTCCTAGGGAGAGTAGCAACAGTGCTGAACTTTCTCCATTTATAGACAATGTGTCTGGACTGATGAACATCAAGGCTTTTAGAGATACTTTTGTAACCCTTTCCAGCTTTATGCAAGTCAACAATTCTTAATGGTAGGTCTTCTGAGAGCTCTTTCGTGCGAGGCATGGTTCACATCTGGCAATGCTTCTTAAGAATAGCTAATTCAAAACTGGTGTGTATTTTTTATAGGGCAGGGCAGCTTTAACCAACACCTCCAACCTCGTCTCATTGATTGGACTCCAGGTTGGCTGACTCCTGACTCCAATTAGCTCTTGAAGAAGTCTTTAGCCGAGGGGTTCACATACTTGTTCCACCCTGCACTGTGAATGTTTACATGGTGTGTTCAATAAAAACATATAATTGTTTGTGTGGTATTAGTTTAAGCAGACTGTGTTTGTCTATTGTTGTGACTTAAATGAAGATCAGAACACATTTTATGACCAACTTATGCAGAAATCCAGGTAATTCCAAAGGGTTCACATCCTTTTCTTGCAACTGTAGTTCCGAAAATGTGCG